AAAAAAAAAAAAAAAATGAAACTGCAAAAAAGGCTGAAAGTTGGTGAGTACAGTGCTATATAGGTAATGAGAAAATGACGAAATTTCAGCAGTCAGTTACAGTAGGTTCTGCCAAGTTGTAGCAGTAATATACATCTTTAAACATTTAGCTGAAAATCATTTTCGTTTCAATTGCTGATCATCGCTACTTTTTAATATTTTTACATAGCACTACCAAATTATCCTCATAAAAGCCTGTTGGGACGCCCTCAAAGGGCTGAACGAATCCCTAAGATATGACTTTATTACTACAGCAGTAAATGACCAAAATTTTTACATGCCACGATAAATTCCAGAAAGAATGAAGCTATTTCAGTAACCCAGCAAAACCTCCACAATTATAAAAAATCTACTTCCACCACCAATTACCAAAAGATCTAAAGTAACTTCTCTGCAAATTTCAATAACTGTCAAATGCAGTAAGCCCCTGCTCTCTAAGCAACACCTAGAACACAGTTTTGCACCCTTTATACACTAAAATTTCCTTCTGTATGCTAAATTACATCTACGAACAGGACCCTTGATTCAAAAGGTACTGCCATAAAAACAACCACTACTTCAGCTTCAACGACAACTCCCGGTCACTGCTCTCTTACAACCTATACCAACCTTGTTGCTCAGTCAACTTCAAAAGTGAACCTTTACAGCTAGATTTCAATCATTCAACAAAACTTGCAGTTTTTCTATCCAATTTCGACTGATTCTCCAAGATGCCCCAAAACCACTAATTGTAAGTCACGAAGAACAAAGATTTGCGTGTTTGCTACAATTACTGTTTCATCAGTAATGCAGTTTCACAAACTGTAACGACTTACGCTTCTCTTAAAAAGCAAAACAAAATAAAAAACTGCCGTTCATATCGCACATTCTTAATGGAAATAAGTATAAATTTATTTTTAATAAGGCAAAGGAATTGCCAAAAATTAAATTTAATCACGTAGTGATTTGATAATTAATCAAATGCAACAGGAAACTACACGTATTTGAGTACCAAAAAGCATCCGCATTATTCCCCTTCCACTAACTCAATTTCAAAAAATATGGTTCTTCTTAGTGCAGTCTTTTGTGGTCCTTTTTTTTCTTTTTGTTTTTTGAGGAAAAGTCCTCTCTCAACTCTGCTAAGTTTCACGAAACGTAACAAAAAAAAAAACCTGATATGTGATGTCTTGAAAGTCAACAGGAAAAGACAGAGTTGCATCAGGAAGCTCGGTCAGACTGCAGTGCACCAAAGTCTCATCCTAAATAACGACAGAAAAAAACGTGAATTACGATAAGTAAAATTACACTCCAAAAACCATCCAGTTCTCATATCCCGGATTTCACAGAAGTACTACAGCGAAGCTTACAAGAAAAGAGGGGGTACTAATAATGTTACATAAATACTGAAAAATATAGCCAGTGGTAAATGACGCATGAAAGTATAATCTATAATTTGAAAACATACAATTATGACCAAATAAACCACGTTAAACTCTATTAATTTCATTATTTCATTATAAAAACAAATACCAGGTCCAATACAAGAGTGAATTCTGGAGTAGAACGTGTTCTCAGTGGTAAGGCCGGGCACCGATAACGCATCTCATCGCTGAGAGGTGGAAGGTGTTGAAGTAGATGCACACTATAAGTGGACAATGTTCGAAAGGTGAAGAGTGCACAAGCAGTCACCATTAAAACCTTCGGGAAAATTTTTAGGGCTGTTTCTTTGAAGACCTAATTGCAATTTACACGCGCTTATTTTGCCCAACCATCAAATCATACCTAAGATTTCCCAACTAATATAACTGCTTTCTTTAGCCACACTCGTTTTACTAATAAGACATTTACCGAAGCACACGGAGGCGCAAATGCAGTATATGTGCAACAAAATTTCCGTCACACTTTATTTCACACGCGGTGCTCATGATGGCAGTAATATTTAAATGAAAAAAATCTAACTTTAATGTAAAGAACAAGAAAAAGTTTTAGAAGCCAAAATGTCTCGCCTCCAAAGGGCAAAGAGCAACATGAATTTGAACTTTTACAAACACCTCCACCTCTAAAAATACAGCAAGACTAAAATTTCAAGAACAGCCTTACAAAAAAACCCTATATCAAACATCCCAACCCCGTGTTTTCAACCTCCAGTCTCCTGTATAAAAGAAATGTAACAAGAAACGTCATATCAGTAGCGAAAATGCCATATTTATATATGTACGTAACATTGATACGTGAGAGGAAACGTGCCCCCTACGTGCAAACAAAGGTGCAAAAAAGTGAAATGATAAAAAACCCAAACTTACGATTCCATATCAATTGGAGGAAGTTCATGAGACTTATCCTTCTGGTCTCCTTCGCTAATGCCACATATCAACGACCGTTTCCCACCCCCTCCAACAGGATTCTTCCTCATCACAAAAGAATAGCAAACAATTAACACCGAAAAAACCTACTGCAGAACAACAGCAAACCCTACCTAAAAAAAACTATGCAATCAATATCTGCTTTGACTTTGTCTATATTGCATTGGCTGTTTGCCCAAATTTTCCCGCTTTTCTTTATCACTTTGATTCGCTCGTCGGACACCTCGTGCTGGGCGTAGAGCAGCTGATCTAGCAGTCTACTCCAACTGCTGCTTACTCCGACAAAACCGTTTGAAGCCAGTTTATTGCTGTTTTCGCTGCAATTTTCCTGCAGGCTTCTAGCCGTATACTAGGAAAAACCGAGAAGGTAAGCGCAGAATTTGTGATTTCTGAAGATTCTCGAGAAGCTTGTGCCTTTGAACCTATTTATTGGCGTTCCGAAGGCTCGTTGAGTAAACTTGGTGAAGTGTCATTTCAATAAATTTGTGGAGAAAAATGTTGGAGCTGGCCCCAAGTAGCAATGAAAAGGTGTGAAGGTACTGCTGCAGACAGGAAAGATTTGGAGGGTAGAACTGCTTTAGGTGCTCTGCAAAATTGTAAGTTCTTTAACAACGGACTCCAAATTATCTCTCAGCTTCACGCAGGATCCTTAGGACTTTTGTGCAATTCTTGGATTCCTTGGTGGACATCCATCTGCGGCATGAGATTCGAAAGTTTATTATCTCGTCTCTTAAGTCAAGTGGAAATACCGGTTTAATGTACGTAAGTAGAGAATTCAGCACTTAATCGGATTAGAGAAAGCACGCTTGACAAGTTCCGTAGAGGAGATGCGTCTCGATTACGTGAATTAAATGCGTTTTGAAAAGCGATTCAAAATACGACAGCTTGATGATTTTCAAACATACTTTCCACAGGCTACCCGCAGTCAATTCGGAGCTCTCGCAAATTGACGGACCCATATAGAGACTATCCCGCGCCAAGTAGCAGACTTTTAGGCTTGATACCTCAGTTTTTTTTCTAGTTTCACTGATTAGTAGAGTCTAAGATTAAAGTTTACAAAAAGCCGAAAAGAGAACATGGAAGATTAAAACTTCAGCTAAGTTACATTCCCCCAAACTTACAAAATTTGTCAAGTTGCTGCCCAACAAGCTTGTTTCTGGAGACTTGTAATCCAATGTTACCTCAACAAAATTTTGTGCTTTTAAGTTTCTCAGGTTTGCACGTCTTCAACTTTTTTAACAAACTGAATTATTTATAAGCGTCGTCATTTCCAATTTTTGTTAAATTTTTTTGCGAACTGAGGAGCCTTCTTCTGGAGGAGCTCCAGCGGTTTTGGCTCGATGCCATTGTGTTATAAAGAGAAAGCCGGATGTTATCCAACTGGCCTCTGTAAAGGTGTGCTAAACTTTTTTTGGGGCTGTGTACATGATGTGCTATCAGTGCCATTTTTTTTCGGATGTTTGAACTCTTTGCATTCCAATTCCTTCTCTTTTCTGTCCATTGTCTCTCGAGATATCAGCAGAAATGTGACGGGTTTTTTATTTTTAGCAGATGCTTTTTAACTTATTCTGTTCATATTCACAGAAATCTATTAATTTTTTTTTTTTTTTATAATTGGCATATATAGTAGATAAGAAATATGCAAAAAAAAATGGGGTTTGCCGAGTGATTGCTGAAAAAAGCACAA